CAGGATCCCCCCCACTGCTTGGGCCTGATCTGCCAGCCGACGCCTGCCCGTGGCCCTTACATTCCGACCTAGCACTGAGGCCTGAGAAGCCACGGCCCCTAGACACCCCGCAAGCTCGGGGTGGGGCCGGGGTGCAGCTGCTCTGAGCACCACCCCACTGTGGGGGTTGAGTTACCGCAGTCCAGGCGTGGGCCGCGCACCGCGAACACGTCCAGCTTTCGTTGACCAGCTCGGGGCGGATGCCGTAGCAACCTGCAAGACAGCAGACAGCTGAGACCTGGGAGGTCAGTGAGCGCCAGGATGTGGCTGAGACGCGGGCGAGGGGCGAGACCTGGGAGGTGGCTGAGACTCGGGTGTCTGGTCGCATGGTATGTGAGTGGGGGGAACCCGGCCACAGCCTCAGGCAACTGCCCTCCATACCCCTCACCCCAGCCGCTGCACACAGTGAGGGAAAGGCAGGGAAGCAGTTAGCTTGGAATGAGGACACAGTGAGGCGAGCAGCCTCCCAACCCCCTGCCAGGTCAGCCCGGGGGCCCTTGCTGGCCCCTGCTTTTGGGGGCCTGCAGCCCCAGTAGGCTCCTCTCGCTGTATCTCGAAGGGCCCAGGCCACAAAGGCAAGGGCCAAGGACGCCATCTGCCCGGGGCCCACCTCACCGGGAGACACAGCCCAGCGACACAGAAGGGCTCTTGCCGGGGCTGCCCCCGACAGAGAGACTGGGCCTGGACCTTGCCTCCGCCACAGCAGCAGGGTGGGCTCTGAGCCGCCTCCCCGGGAGCTGCCCGCCCAGGCGTGTCTCAAGCCCAGGCCCAGCAGAACAGACAGGCTCCCGGCCACGGACAACCGGGGACACAGACAGAGCCTGATAGCTGCCCGCCCGGCCAGGGAGCTGAGAAGAGCACACGTCTCCAGAAGGCTCTCCTGCCCGAAGAGGCAACCTCTCGCTCCCTGCCACTGCTTCAGTCCGGGAAAGGGCGGAAGCAGCTCCAACCCACTCCGCCACAGGTGGCCAGTGTCAGGGGCATCCGATGACACCTGCTCTTCCTGCTGCCTCCCAGGCCTGGGGGAGGGTGGGCGGGGCAGGACGCAGAAG